ATTTGACGTGATAAAATACTGAAGAACGAAATAGTTTGTTAACCACTGTTACGAAAACCAAAAAAAAAAAAGGAAATAGTTGTGGCTACAAGATGTTTTGGTAAAGTTGCATTAGTTTAGGTATAACACTGAGCTACATGTATTAGAAGTGATAGGTGCTACAAAAACAAATTAGGTGCTGATCCAATAAGACTGTAGATGTGATGGGAGATGGGAGATGTATGTTCACTCTCAATCACAATAGATCCAAAAATAGCCACACAAAATGGCATAAAGAATTGAGAACGACCCGTGTTGTGGAGGGAATGCTTTTCTTTCTCCCCTTTTAAAAAAACTAAATTTTGAACATATTCAGGACAAATCAAACCTTAATAGATAATTAATATATACATTACATTACATTCACATGAGTTATTCTCAGATTATAACTCACAACATGATTAGATTATCTCGAATTTCTTTATTTGTAACTATTTTCTGAAAAACAAAATCTAAAAAATGAGAAAAACATAAGCGCGTTTAATCCATGCAGCTTGTTTAATTTGGATTTAACTATTGAAATTCGATTTGTTTGCTTTAACGTTTAGTTCTCGGTTAGCTTATTTTGTAATTTCATTCTGATAACCGATATCCATTACAAAATTAAAGAAAAACTATACTGTGTACACGAGAGATCAAATGGCCCGTTAGAATCCAAGCAAAGTCAAACATCAGGAAAAAAATCATCATCCAGTGTAATTTACGTGTTACATTTTTCTAACAAAAACAAATTTTACGAAAAGATAAACAGTAAAAGAAAATTATAAAGGTACCGAATATTATAAAGACTTAAACTTTGCTGGGTGATATTAAAAAGAAAGAAAACAAAGTGAATGGGGTTTGTAGTGTAAAATGCGAAGTAGAAAGGAAGGCTTTTGCATAGGGTTCCATTATTTATCATAGACTTTAGTCCTTTTCTGGTTTCTTATAAGTCTTATCGGTGTGTTCTTGTGGGGCTTCTCATACCACCGACCCTTTTTCCCCATAACATATACAGAAACCTTTCTTTATGTATTAAGTAATTCGAGACTAGCTTTTTTAATTTGCTGGTTTTTATACTACATCATGTAAGCAACGAAAATGATAATCTCCTTACTAATATAATAAAAAATTGTATTTTCATACTACACCTATATATTCGTATCAGTTTCACACTGTGTAATATTATATCTCAATATCCCATGCAAATTCATACGTACGGCAACTTGGCATGGATGTTTTGCTCGAGATTCTAAATCATTCATTTTCAAATTATTCGATGATTTTATGCAACTTATATCACCTATACGCGCAAGTGTATACATGTTTTATAAATGATTTGATGAGTATGATAGTGATGATGATTTTGAATAGTGAGCTGATGATTTTGAACAGTGAGCTCAAAATCAACGCGCGTACTGAGAAATAGTGGGTGATGTCATGTACATTTAGTCATTAGCATATTAATGGAGTGAACAAAACGAAGCAGTAAGTCATCAAAGTGAAGTGAGATCGAAGATTTTCACTGTTAAAATGCATTTAATTAAGTTGGAGTAGTTTAAGTAGTGTTTGAATGAAAATGAACTGATCTTTACGACCAGTTGACAAGTCTTTTCTTTCTTAGAATAACAAACTAGTTGTGAGACAAAAATAGAACCCACATCAAGCAAAGGGGTTGAGGCCGTTGCTTAATTGGTATCTTCTCATATATATACAGAACTTACATTGAATCTGGATATAATACTAAAAGACTAAAACGTTAACACTTTCAAACCTGATAAGCTAATTGCATTTAGATTTCGATCTGTTTTGTTTTACCCTATCTAAAATTGAAACCTCCGATTTTTCCTTGATATATATGCACTTGTCGATTATCGAGAACAATGCTCGTGTAGTCATGTGCTTCTATCTTGGATAACGGACACGTATTTTTATTAGTTGTATTGTCTCTATACGTATACAATATGTCAATACAGCATTCACTTACAATCATGTTCTATAATTAATACATATAGGTCCCATTGAGATGTAAATGTACGTTAACGAGTGTAGCTTAATCTTATAAGTAGATGGAATGGCGACATGGCGTAGCACAGTTTTTCATAAATGTGATTCTACTATATTTGACAGCCGATATGTTTTACATGGCCGGTGATCGAAGAATGATAGTATGATACAACGCGTACGTACGTTCGTACACATATGTACACACAAACATGTTAATATATGTATCAAAGTATCATGTTTGATATATCCTCTGTTTTACTTTTACGATTTTACCTTATAACATGTGATCATTGGATTATTGTTTTTATTGTTTTAATTTTAACACAAAATAGAGTTATGATAGGTGTTACTATTTCGCAACTTTTCTTAATTTTGTACATTACTTATGTAAAGACATCATCATTTAAAATGAAATAAATGGATTATTTTTTAAACACAAAAAATACTATAGGAACCAAGATTGACCTGAACAGAGGTTATATCCTTTTCTTTGTAAATATGTTTTCTAATCTTTATTACAAAGACAAAACGTAAATCATAAACTATTATTTTTGGTTAAAATTATTGCATTGCAAAGAAAAATTGACCGAAAAGAAAAGGTCTTGGAATGCTACCAAATAAAGTTAGTATAGAAATATAACGTTAATTTGTTGTCAAAAAAAGAAATATAACGTTTAATTTATGTCGCGTTATAGCTGAAGACAGATTTGAAGCGATGCCCAAAATCTACTACTGAACCAAAACTCTGACGGTCTCACGCCTATTGTAAATTTTGTATTATGACAAGAACAAACCGTCATCAATCTTTAAAGAAAAACAATTTTCCTTGATAACAAAAGAGAAGTTTCTATAAAGTTTGGATAAAACCTTTTTAAAATGATCCTTTTTTAGAAGTCTTTGCTTCTAATATTGTATACTATATCTTGCATTGCATGCACTAATTGTTAAAGTAAAAACAAAATAGAAACTGAGAAGAGAATTAAACCTGGCCTTTGATAAAACTATATTTTGAGAGAGTCAGTTAAAAGTGAATATAAATACACAAAGCATGTGGACAAAAGAGAATTAAGCAACAGTAAAAATATACATTTTTCTTACAGCAACTGTTCCTAAAATGTGATATGTCAGAGGTGCTTCGCTGTCTAACTCAAATCCAAGGCACCACGCGCCAATGTATCGCTTGTATCTCATATTCCAATTAAAATTCGACAGTTCATCAATCATTAACTATATTTTGTCAAAAATGATGTATTGAAACAAATAATATATACTGGTTAAATACTAATAAAAAACATGAAACATCTTCGTTTTGATTAATAGAATTGAAAATCACTGATCATTCAGTAGAAAATTAGTAGGTTACATTATAGTATAGATCAATTCAAAAGAAAATTATGACTTCCAAAGAATAATCATTGAGTTGTTCTATTTATTTATTTAAATTACACACAACACACTAGGCACCCACACACTTTGAAAGACGAAAGAGTAGCAAGTAGTTACCAAAATTAATTGCATTCGTCGTGACTGGTGGGAGCTTCTGTTTGGGTCTAAATTAAATTGAAACAGCTCATTGTACATGACTTTCTAAGTTTCTATATGCATTGAGATTAAAAGAAATCAATTCAGAAGTTTTCAAAAATTTGAAAATAGAAGGAATCTAAACAAACGAATAATGGCCGTTGTATCACGTAAATTGTCATGTACCCTTTTTTAACAAAACACCAATGAAGTGTTGCCAATCACAATCACCCATTTCTTTTTTTTTTGTCAAATCCAAAATATTTCCTTTTTCCATTTTCTAATCTTTTTCACTCTCACCTTTTGTTGTTCTTTCCAAATATCATTATCATTCAATAAATACCAACCTCATATTTTTAGAACCGGTCACACATAAAATTTTATGCTATGAAAAATATGCAAACTAAAATATCAATTCTGTGAATATTTTCATAGATTTTATTTTGACATTTGACAAAGTTAAAAATATGGGTTTCCTACAATGTTATTCATATATACATTCATCGTTTAAAAATTGATCATGTTGAATCATATCAAAAACACAAATGCCTACCAGTGTATAGGAAACCCATAAAAGTAATCATGTTCTCCACAAAACTCTAGACACTACTACCGTAACATAATGGCAAGTGTTTTTATTTTTTGCTTACACTATGTGATCATGTGAGTACCTATACTTCAAAAAAATTGCACATCCTACAAAATATACAAAGTTCTTTATTAAAAAAAATAACATAAAAATAGAGTCGATAAAATGAAAAGGGCAAGAAAAAAAGGACAAAGAAACATAATTGGTGAAGAGGAGAGGCATTAATGGAAAACAAGGCCTCATGGGTTTCAGCGTTTATTTTCAAACTTCCCTTCATACCCGCGCACTTACTCACACTTCCGTTGGCTTTCGTTTTCTTTTGTTTTTATTTTGTTTAAAGAAAAAGGTTTACATGTGGAGAGAGAAATAAATTTATTTTTGAATTTGATACAACGAAACCCATGCGTTGATAACCTCATAAAAAAGGTTTTATATTTTTCAATCCTTGTTCTCTTATATAAGAACTCATTTTCCTTTGACGTTTAGGATAAACTCCATCTCTGTTAAAAAAAATCGTTACAGAGGAATATATTTCACAGTGGAGAGAATAAATAAAGCAAAGAAGTCGAGAGGTTTTGAGTGACGAAATGAGTTCCTTTTCAGAGTTTGTCTTTCATTAGGTTTTTGTTTTTCCTTTTCCCGATTTTTTTGTTTTTCTGAAAAAGTTGAATAAGTCTGTGTGATAGACTGATAAGATAGGAGGAGTAGGATTTTTTTTAAAAGGCAACGAAGAAAAAAAATTAGATAATAAACAGAGAGAGAGAGAGATAGTATATATTCATATATAGAGACAGAGAGACAGAGAGAGAGAGAGAAGTGAAGAACAAGAATAATGGAAGAAACGAAGAAGAAAAAGAAGAAGAATATGAATAACGAAGATTCGAAGAAAAAGGAGCGTCATATTGTGACTTGGACACAAGAGGTGTGATTCATACATTTATATTAGTGTGTGTGTGTGTTATGAATCTCTGTTTTCTTTGTTTGGCTCTGTTTTCGACTGAATCTGAAATGGGTTTATGGAGTTGCAGGAGGACGTTATATTAAGAGAGCAAATTACTCTTCATGGAACCGAAAAGTGAGATCTTTTTTCTTTTTCATTTTACTCATCTGATTATTTTCTAAGGAGAAAAGTTTTGGTTTTTTTTCCTAAAGAGTGATTCTAAAAAGATTGTTTCCATTGTGTTTTAATGATATTAGTTGGGCGATCATAGCATCCAAGTTCAAAGACAAAAGCACAAGACAATGCAGAAGAAGGTTGGTGGATCGATTCAATCAAACTGATGACTGATCTTGCTAAATCTGTTTCTTCTAATCAAAAACAGAGTTTTTAAATCCGCATATTTTTTTTTTTCTTGCAGATGGTATACATACTTGAACTCTGATTTCAAAAGAGGAGGTTGGTCCCCTGAAGAAGACATGCTTTTGTGTGAGGTGACTTCACTCACATGGATAAGATCTTAGGTTTGGTTTTTGGGTTTATACGTCTGTCTGATAATCATTAACCTCATGCGTGTTGTTATTTCCTAGGCACAAAGAGTATTTGGGAATAGATGGACTGAGATAGCAAAAGTGGTCTCAGGCAGGTAGAATCAAAGCTCAAGCTCTAATGGTGGGTCAAGTGATCATTATTACAAGGACAAAAGTGATTAATGTATGTTCTGTTCTGGTCTTTGTGTGTTTTGTAGAACGGATAATGCAGTGAAGAACAGGTTTACAACACTTTGTAAGAAGAGGGCCAAGCATGAAGCTTTGGCTAAAGAGAACAACTCAAACAGCAAAAGAATGTTGTTCTTTGACGGTATTGATACACCGAGAAAAGCTGAGAATGAAGCTCCTATTGCTAAGAGAACAAGGTCAGTTTTGTTTCCTTTTCATCTAATAAACATTAATTTCCGAAGTCTTTTTCAAACATTCTCATGTACTTTGTTGGTTAATTATACAGGAGAAGTCACATTCTAGATCAGAATGTTGAGTCTTGTGTGAATCAGCTGACAAGCAATGTGAAGGAGAGTGAAGGTGAAGAGATGTTTCTTAAGAAAGATGATCCAAAAGTGACAGCTCTGATGCAACAAGCCGAACTTTTAAGCTCGTTGGCTCAGAAAGTTAATGCAGACAACACAGAACAAAGCATGGAGAATGCTTGGAAGGTAAAACAACTAAGAAATCACTTCACTGTGCTTGGCCTTTTGCTGTATCTGCTTGCTTCAAGTTTTCTGATAGCAAAAGCTCTTGTTGTATGCATATCACCAGGTCCTTCAGGATTTCTTGAATAAAGGCAAGGAAAGTGATTTATTCAGATATGACATGGATTTCCAACTCGAGGAATTTAAGGATCTTTTAGAGGATCTTAGGGGTAGTTATGAAGAGAATCAGCCATCTTGGAGGTGAAACTAGCTTTTAATCTCTGTAGAAGTTTTGTGTTCATATTAAGGTTCTGATTCTCTAACTCTAACCTTTTGAATTTGATGTTCTTTAGGCAACCTGATCTCCATGACTCACCAGCTACCTCTGAGTATAGTTCAGGATCAACCATAATGCTTGATCAGTCTGGTGACAGAACACAACCATCATTGTCTGATACTCAGACAGAACATAAACAAGGTGGAGAGGAGTTGCTCTCAGCTCGCGATGTCCTTAACAATCCTGATGAGAATTTGCCCATCTCGGGCGAAGAAAATTTCAGCTCGCCTATTCAGGTCACGCCATTGTTCAGATCTCTAGCAGATGGCATCCCAAGTCCACAATTCTCTGAAAGTGTAAGCTTATCATTCATGTTTATGTTCATCACACAATACTTTGATCAAAACATTGAGTCTTAGAGACTTTACTTATTTACAGGAGAGAAGCTTCCTGTTAAAGACACTCGGGATCGAGTCCTCATCTCCATGTCCAAGTGCTAATCCTTCACAACCACCCCCTTGCAAAAGAGTCCTTCTCCATAGCCTGTAAACCAACCAAGAACCAACCATCTCTGATACCCTAAACCGCGGTTTTGTCTCCATGGAGACGTAATTTTTTCCCACTTTTGCTTAGGTTTCGTTTTAGGTTTTGCAGCCATATCGGCCTGGAAGTTTTTGTGAAGCAGGCATGCCATGATATGCATTCCTTCCTCAAAAGGTTTTTAAAAAACTTCTTTGTTGGTCCTAGAAAATGTTAAAGGTAACATTTCTAGCCTCCATCAAAGAAAGCTCTCAAGAATCTGGCATATACTCAGATTCAGATTTCTCTTTATCTTCTTACTTAACATAAGGAAGCCGTCTACAAAGGAAGGCGCCAGTGTGTCTTAAGACGAAAATTCTTTGGTTTGTTTCTAAGGGTCATACTCAGATACATCATCTGAGCATTTTCCCCTGATTTCTTGATTTGTTTTCCTCGTCTCTGTACAGAATCTCTCTATCATATATATATATATATATATAAAGAAGTCTTTCAGAGTGTAACTCTTAGGAAAAAACTCAGAAGAGGGAAGAGTTTTACCTGTTTGTCTGTTGCTGTTTTCTCATAGCAGAAGAAGAAGGCAATAGAGCTTAAAACTTGTTTCCTTGTTTGCAAAATATGATTGTAACAGACATTTATATATATGAGTGGAAATATGATTTGATTTGGGTTTGATATTTATAAGTTTCTTCTAAATGCCTCAGTTTACATTTTGCTAATGTGACTAAGCTTTTCTTCCCTCTAAGTAAAACGTTCCCAAAATGAAAAACAAATTTGTTTGAAGAATTGTGAAATTCTGATCTTCCAATCTCAGCTTCAAGTCTTTTTCTTCTTCTGCACTCTCTGCAGCTTCCTCCATTTCAGATAAATTTGGTAAGACAATCCACCAAACACCATCGACACACATCCCCATTGTTTGGGCGATAACGGATTCCCGCTCAGAACCGACGACACCACAATGCTTACAAACTTCCGTGTTGTGGTTATGGTCGTGTTAGCTAGAGACCCGAATCTGCTTATCGTCAAGAAGATGAAGTTTTGGCCCACTGCTCCGCATAGACAGTACATAAGAATGTCCCACGCTGCCTCAGGGTGCTGCTTGCAGAACTGCACAGCTTCGAATCCGCTCCCATGCGGCAATCCAAACATGTAGACAATGTTGTATATGGTTCCCCATAGATTCATCCCCAGCATTATGTCCCACGCGTTAGTTTTTGGGTACCTGTATCCATGTTTTGGAGATGGTTATAGTCAGCTGAAGGATGGAAGAGAGCTTGATGTTCTGATAAGCAAGAATCATACCTTGCGGTGATGGAATCTTGGGTGGCGTTTGTGAATCCGTCAAAGGCAAGGTTCAAGAAACAGAGCCCGTAACCAAGAGGAGCATTTGGATTTGCTAGCTTGCTGATGGTCTTCGAGCTTGTCTAAACCCAAAATCAAAGACGGTTTAATATGGTTGCAGAGACGTAAGTATTAAAAGTTGTTGACTGATGATCTGCCTACCTTAAGAAGAGCAAACATGGACACTCCTCCAGCAACAAGGAAGGTGCAAAGATACTCAGGCAAACTGTATCTTATCCCATACACTAACGAGCCCATCAGCATTACTACATGATAAGAAGCAAAAGCAATATGTAAGATACACAAAGAGATCTTGATTGAAACAAAGAGGGAACATTCAAATTTGACACCTCACCTGGGATCATTTTGGAAGATTTTGCAAGGACCTGAGCTGGGTAACTGATATACTTCAAAGCTTCAATGCCCATGGCAGGACCAATTGTATTAGTAATGCCAGCGCTCCAGTATGTCCACCATGGTGCTCCACCACTACCTCCATTGGACCAGAGCTTAATCACTGCTCATCATCGAGATTTGGAGAACATATATACTTCAGCTTCATCGATTCTCCGTTTATAAATGTCAATGAATAAACAAGGAAGATTTTTTGGATTGCTCACTTATATAAGACCAAACCAAGCATACTACATTCTGAGCCAAGTTCAGAAACGCAAGATGCTCGAATCTCTTCCCTTCTTCACCAAATTTCTTCGTCGACCTAATTAGAAACGGTAAATTTGAGTACTTGGATCAAGCTCAGCTACATTTCTACAAATTTCCAATCATTGATTTGTATTTGTATTGCAAAGGAATCACCATCACCAACACAAACTAACTCCGAGAATAGAAACGATCTCGATCAAACAGAATCGAGAAATGTTGAGGGAAACAATCGAAGAGCTTAAAGAGATGATCAATTCGACGTAAGAAATTACTTACAGGGTTTCCTGAAGAACGCCTTGGTAAATGTAGGCGGCCCAGATCCCGGCGACGCAGAATGACAACAGCATAACTCGCCGGAGACCGGCACCGTGAGCTTCCATCACCGACTGTTCTGAACTCCGACGATTAAACTCCGGCGAAGGCTCGAGCTTTTAATTTACGTTATTCAACCTGATTTTTGCGATCAGAGTTATGAGATCGATCTGAAGTGGAAGCGAAAGTTATTAACAGTGTCGGAGGCGCGCGAAAGACGTAGATGTTCCATGTGTAAGCTTTTCATTGGACCGATAATCTGACGGGACATTTCTGATTGGTTATGACACGCGTGCTAATTTCTCGAATCCAAGTCACATACCGTTTATTTTTAATGAAACAAAACGGCACGCAGTTTACTAGAAAATCATATGCGAATTTGGGCTTTTCTGGCCTTTCATATAACTTTTTTTTTTTTTGAACGACAACTTTTCAATTAACCAAGTTCTTGAAATAAAGGCACAAAATGGAGAAGAAAATAAGTAAGGCATAATAAAACTGGTTAAATAAAAGTGGAAAATTATTTCAACGTTGCAAGGAAATATGTCAATTATTGATGAAGTCATTCATATAAACCTAAGATCACGTGATGGTTGATAAGATGAAAAATAATGCGTACACAAATTTGCTTCTGACCATTTTTTTTGTTTTTTCGCTGAGCAAAGATGCCTAAATGATCTAATTAACCATTTGCATAGAAAACAAAGTTATACTCATCGAATATGATCTTATAAACGTAAATTTGCATTAATGTATCATGTATGACAAACTCACTGTGTTTTCTGTATACTCTGAAGACTAACAATATTATATCTCTTAATGAATGTAGAAGTCACATAGGAGAAGAATAGAAAAATATTTATATGATAGCATAATTCTTTGGGCCTTTGGGAAAACCATTTTAGTTTGGAGGAGAGTCAAAAGAGTGATTATTATTTATCGCTCGTGCAAATGCTTTGTGTTATATATAATTATACGATATTGCTGGATACAAGTCACTTGGTCAGCTAGCATATTATATGCGTAAAATTGTAGTAAAATATTCGCGAGGTAGCAATGTTATATAAGGTTACTCCTATTGACCGAATTATAGTAAAGATTCCAAATGCCAGTTTTGTCCACACGTGCTTAATGAATACAGAGTACAGACTAGAGTAGTTTCTTGGGTCAATGCATAGCCATGGGATATAGTAATCAAGAAATACACCAAAAACAATACATTTTTTAATACGTACGTTAACTGCGACTTTCTCCTTATTCGTGGTTTGATGATGATTCAATAGATACTAATTATACTATCAACATAACCCTTTTAAATCGGTTCAACATTTTTAAATAACTTAATTCGACGATCACGTTATGACACTAAAATTTACCAACAAACTCCCACGTTATGATACTATTTAGAACGTACCATAAACCTTTTTGCCGAAAGCATTTATATAGTAAAGTTTTTCTCCAAAACTATCGCTGATTTTTGTACTTGTAGGCTTGTAGCAAGCATCAGTTTGTTGTTCAAATCACTTCTTGTAGAATGAAGCCACTTTCTACTAATTTGATCTATAAACTTTCACAATTCGCCAGCCTTGATTTTGAAACTAAGATATGGTTTTATTAGTTCTGAAACCTCAAAACAAAAGTTCTTCATTTTCTATGCTTCTCATTTGATTGTGATTTATTTCTATTTGAACTTTCGCATGTACACTTGTGCATGCTTCTTCTCAGCGAAGGATGTAGTTTTGATTCCACTATCGGCGTCAAATGATCAACTAGGAGATATACTTATTGGGAATAAGTGTGATATAGTTAAATTTCCTATTTCATTATGTTAGAATAATGTCAAGTTTCTTTGTTTAAAGGAGTTTAGGGTTTCCTAGTTTCAAAGACGTATTGTATAAATATCCAAATTTGGGAGAATGAATGGACAAGTCAGTTAAACACATTATTCTACATGGTATCAGAGAAGAAGATCTTCAAACCTCATAATTACGTTTGATCTTTCGCTGTTCTTTGCGATGGCTGGGGAAGAAGAAAATACTCCAGCTGGTGGTTCCGGTGGAAACCAAGTCGCTAGTGGTCTAACAGATTCCAGTGGAACCCTAGGCGTGTTGCCTCTTGCCGGTAGTGTCTCTGTGTCGCCGTACACGTTGTCGGCGTCGATAACCCGGTGCGTTAATAACCTCTGTTCAGTTGAATGGAGAAAACTACAATGAATGGGCATCGGAGATGCTTAATGCTCTTCAAGCTAAACACAAGATGAGTTTTATTCACGGTACTCTTCCGAAGCCTGCGAGTGGTAGCCCGGATATGGAGAACTGGCTAACGGTCAATTCCATGATCGTTGGTTGGATTAGGTCTTCGATAGAACCTAAAGTACGTTCGACGGTGTCGTATATCACGGATGCTCATCTCCTGTGGACTGAGCTTAAGGAGCGTTTCTCAGTGGGGAATAAAGTGCGTATACACCAAATCAAGTCTCAACTTGCGTCATGTAAGCAGGACGGTCAGACTGTTTTGGAGTATTATGGTCGTCTTGCTATGTTGTGGAAGGAACTACAAACTTATCAGCCGGTGATTTCGTGCTCTTGTGGAGCAGCTGGCGTACTTGCCAAAGAAAAAGAAGAAGAAAAGCTGCACCAATTTGTTATGGGATTGGACGATGCTCGGTTTGGTGGTTTGTGTACGAGCATCGTAGCTTCTGATCCTTTGCCTAGTCTTGGTGAAGTCTATGCAAAGATTGTGCGAGAAGAGCAACGTTTGACATCAGCGAAAGCTCGCGAGCAACAGCAAGAGGCGATCGGATTTGTCGCTCGCCGAGAAGAGGTCCTTGCTCCTGTTCGTCCTAGCCAAACTGAGACACGTTCAGACTCAGCTAATTCTGTTCGTCGTGATCGCATGCTCTCTGCAGTCATTGTGGACGTACCGGTCATGACAAGAAGGAATGTTGGCAGTTAGTTGGCTTTCCCGAGTGGTGGTTGGACAGAAACAAGAATATAGTGGAGGTCGTGGAAGAGGAGGAGGTCGCAATGGTTACAACAACCCTGGTCGTGGTCGTGGTCAGGCCAATGCTGCACACGCCACAAGTTCCAACGCTTCTTCTTTTCCGGAGTTTACAGCCGACCAGTGGAAGGCTCTATCCAAGTTGATTCAAGAGAAGTCTGGTGAGGCGAATCCTGACAAGTTGTCTGGTAAGAATACTTCGGTGATGTTATTCTAGATACCGGCGCCTCACATCACATGACAGGGAACCTTTCTCTGTTACGGAACATCGAGAATATTATTCCATGTACTGTGGGGTTCGCGGATGGTGGAAAGACTCTCTCGCTTAGCAAAGGATCTTTGACGATATCATCTAAGCTCACGTTACATAATGTCTTATATGTCAAAGATCTTAATTGCACTTTGATTTCAGTTTCCAAGTTACTGAAACAAACCGGTGGTGTAGCTATGTTCACTGATACTCTTTGTGTTTTACAGGACCGTTTCACGAGGACTTTGATTGGAGCCGGTGAGGAACGTGATGGGGTCTACTATTTTAAGGATGTTATGGCAGCTAGGATACATCGAGCAGATGCAGCAATGGACTCTGCTTTGTGGCACCAGAGGCTAGGACATCCTTCGTTTTCAGTGCTTTCTTCTTTGCCATTGTTTTCTGGTTCTTCTAGACCTGCTTGTTCTGGTCCGTGTGACGTTTGTTTTAGGCTAAGCAGACTAGAGAGGTGTTTCCAGACAGTATTAATAAAACCATTGAATGTTTTTCACTTATTCATTGCGATGTATGGGGTCCATACAGAGTTCCATCTTTCGACTGGTGCTGTTTATTTTCTTACAATTGTGGATGATTTTTCTCGAGCCGTGTGGACATATCTTTTACTAGAGAAATCGGAGGTTAGCAAGGTTCTCAAAAACTTTATGGCTTTTACGGAGTCAAAGATGGTTAGAAGTGATAATGGCACAGAGTTCATGTGTCTTTCGTCGTTTTTTCGCGAAAAAGGGATTGTACATCAAACTTCATGTGTAGCCACTCCGCAGCAGAATGGTCGTGTCGAGAGGAAGCATAGACACATTCTTAATGTGGGAATAAGTGTGATATAGTTAAGTTTCCTATTTCATTATGTTTGGATAATATCAAATTTCCTTGTTTAAAGGAGTCTAGGGTTTCCTAGCTCCGAAGACGTGTTGTATAAATACCCAAGTTTTGGAGAATGAATAGACAAGTCAGTTAAACACATTATTCTACAATACTCAAGGCATAACACTAGAAGAAATCATTGACAGTTCCAACCAAATTTCCGACCCAAAATCCAGTCAGAAACTCCTCTTCCCAACCAATATGGACGTCAGAATTTGGACCTTTTCTTGTAGTATAAATTGCTATCCAAACTAATTTTTATTTCATCAAATGATGAAAGTAACCTTAATTATGCCAATAATCTAACACGTAACTCCAACACTTGCCAAAAACGACTAACCGCCCGTAAAGTAGCTAAGCAAAAGTTGTCTAACAGTTTCGATATCTCATGATCTGGAAAGGTACGTAAGAGCTTCTGAAACATAATACAAATATCCATAATATATATGTAGATCTAAACTAATTAACTCGAAAAATAAAAATGTAAACACTTCTAGATGTTGATTAAAGGGAATTTCCACTAAAATCATGACCAAGCGATAACAATTGTTATTGTAAAAATAGCCATCAAATTTTCAACGATATGAGCGACGATCCAGACCCACCACCTTTTTGTCTCTTAGCAGAAAAATAATACTCCAAAATTGATGATACATTATTTCGTCAACAAAGACCAAAATTGGTTGAAAACAATAACTTTTTTTTGGTTAACATCCAAACAAAATAAAAACCTTCCTTTTTTGTTTATTCCATAGCGACTTAGTCATCTATAGTTTGAGTGATCCAAAATAATTCCCTAAACACTTGAAAGAAAGAGATGGGAAAACAAGAAATTTGAGAGGGGGGAACGACAATGGAAAAAATGGAACAGAAACAAACGTTAAGGAAAGGAAACCTTGTTGTCATTTCATTTTGTTCTATTTGAGTATGAAACGGTCAAACGTGAATAGGATAAAAAAAAGAAATGTCACATTCAAACTCATGTCTCAAATGTGTAGTATTAAATTAATAATAAATTCTAACAAAAAACGTAAATAGATGACAAAAAGGCTATGGTCTATGGATATTTTTGTTTATAGATGGGTACACGACTTTTTGCCTTTCACCTTCCTTCCTCCTCCTAATAGTTCACTCGGTTACTGAAAAATACCATTGAAAATACCAACGTGGATTTACTGCCGTGAGCATGACGCAACCGGATCTATCCCGAATGACCAAAATTGTCCTTCTCATTACCGAACCCAAAAGAAAGAAGCAAAGGTTTATTTGTCATTCCGCTTGTTGTAAAGGGTATATTTGTCATTTAAAAAATTATTATGAGGTACAAGAAAAAAAACACACACGACGACTTTTTGCACTTGTCTGTTTTGCTTCTGATCCTCTCTCTGTTCTTCTTCACCTTCCTTGTTCATTCCTCTCTCCTTCTTTAGATTTTCTTTTTCTTTTTCATGTTATTATATTTTTATTCTATTTGCGTCTACATTCGGCTAAGCAGACATTGTGCCGCCGAAACTTTCTGTGCTGGCTTTTTCGAGAGTCTGTTCTTGTCCTGATCATCTCAACAACAGCTTTTGTTTCTCCAAATTGAGTATTTTGACCTAAAATGGGTAATTGCTTAGATTCATCAGCTAAAGTGGATACTAGCAGCCATAGCCCACATGCTAATTCTGGTAAATATTTCCTCTTTCAAGCCTTTTAATTTGGGTTAAGTTTCTCTGTTTTTCTGGTTCAGATTTAAGTCTTTGGCTTTACGTACCAAACTGTGTCTTGATCATCAAAGATCAAACCTTTGGAAATTCTCTGTTCTTACTTGTATTGATGTTCTTAGCAAACTAATGAGATTTTCTCTGTTTGATCGATAATTTTTACAGCTTTTTCGGCGTCAAAAGTCTCGAGCAGGACAAGCCTTTCGACGTGTCCTTCAGGAACAAGCACAAATACTTACAACACAGGAGGGAGCAGTTTAGGATCATTGCCAACGCTTAGAACAGAAGGAGAGATACTTTCATCGCCAAATCTAAAAGCTTTCACTTTGAACGAGCTCAAGAACGCAACCAAGAACTTCCGTGATGATAGTGTACTAGGCGAAGGAGGTTTCGGTCGTGTCTACAAAGGATGGATCGATGGAACAACTCTCGCTGCTTCACGACCTGGCTCTGGAATCGTTGTTGCTGTCAAAATGCTTAAGCCTGAAGGTTTCCAAGGTCATAAAGAGTGGTTGGTAAGCCCGGTTTCTCTCCCCTTTTTCACCATGATTGTTGTTCTTTTTTTTGCTGATATTTTAAAAATGTTGTTTGAATTTTGAATTTTCAGACTGAAGTAAACTATCTTGGTCAACTTACTCACCCAAACCTTGTATTACTAATCGGGTACTGCGCGGAAGGGGAAAACCGTCTTCTTGTGTATGAATTCATGCCTAAAGGAAGCTTGGAGAATCATCTTTTTAGACGTATGCATGTTTTTGGTTATTCAACATTCTTAAAGCATTGTGTTTCTTTGGTGTTTTATAGTCGTCTGAGTCAATGGTTCTTGCAGGTGGTTCGCAGCCGCTTACATGGGCGATAAGGATGAAAGTGGCAGTTGGTGCAGCTAGAGGGCTGACTTTTCTTCATGAAGCAAAGTCACAAGTGATATACAGAGACTTTAAAGCTGCTAACATTCTACTCGACTCTGTAATAAACCTAGCATAAACTCTCTCTTTCCAAACATTTTCAGGATACGCTTGACTTTTAACCGTTTGAGATTGTGTCTTAATGCAGGAGTTTAATGCTAAGCTTTCGGATTTCGGTTTGGCTAAAGCAGGACCTACTGGAGATAACACTCATGTCTCCACAAAGGTCATGGGTACTCAGGGATATGCAGCTCCTGAATATGTTGCCACAGGTTTGTTCTACAATCTATGGTTTATCAATTTTTTGTGTAGGAACACTTCAGAAGCCTTTTCCAAGAATGTTTCAAAAGCTTTGACTTTTGAATATTGAAAATCTTAATATTTTTCCAAAGAAGTCATCAAAAGCTTTGACATTAACCAAAAGTATTTGACTTTAAAGTGTTTTTGTTTATTAAGACACTTTCTGAAAGCTCATCTTCATTTTACTAACAGGTAGATTGACGGCAAAGAGTGATGTGTACAGCTTTGGGGTGGTACTACTGGAACTAATATCAGGAAGACGTGCCATGGACAATGCAAACGGAGGAGCAGAATATAGTCTTGTGGACTGGGCAAAACCGTACCTTGGCGAGAAGCGAAAGCTTTTTCGGATAATGGACACGAAACTAGGCGGTCAATATCCACAAAAGGGAGCTTTCGCAGCTGCTACTCTCGCGTTGCAGTGCTTAAACCCGGATGCGAAGCTAAGGCCTAAAATGTCAGAGGTTTTAGCCACATTAGAAGAGCTAGAATCCGCTGCTAAACCTGGAACCAAACACACGCAAATGGAATCTCCAGGAGCTCGTCATTCCTCGGCTGTGCAGAAATCTCCGGTAGGAGGATATAGTCAAGATCGTCCTCTAACTCCTGGTACATCGCCTCTGCCTTCTTACAGTCAATCTCCACGTGTAAGATGAAAAGTAAACGGCTCATATTCTATGCTTTTATGTGTACTGTTTGTAAAATGCATTTTGAGATTTAGGTTTTGTCTTTGTATTATACTTGGAGATGAAGTTAACTAAGGCAAGGATCTATACAAATAAGTTATATACTCAAACCTTTTTGTGTCGTCAAAAACATGTCAGATTAAACTGAACCAACATGAGAAAAAGATGTGAATGAGCATGAACTGTGACTAAACACTCTATAAACAAAACCAAAACGCAGAGACAAAAAAACATTCTCATTCTGTTCCGGTTTATGGAAGAAGTAGAGGTTACTACATATGCATTGGAAATAATTAAATAGAGATTAAACTCTGGAAATAATAAACAGGATATCCGAGAGAGGATTCAGCCGTCGAGAAAACAATATCTTCTGATCCGGTTTCAGGGTCGTGTGCGAACAGTGTTTGAGTTTCCGCCCGATCAAAAAACAGCAACTTCTTCTTCTTCTCCTTCTCCTTCACCTCCAAAAGTGTTAGTGGCGAGAGCGCAGCCGCTGATGATGGGATCTTAAAACAAGCATAAGTAGACACGAGATCTATGGCGCACATTTTGTCCCATGTCTTGTTGCCTGAATTAAACGACCATACAACTTGTATGTCCCAAAAAATTCGGGACATGCACAAGCGATTGTCCAGGTTGCACATGACGAACTCGTCAGGATCAGGATCATCGTAAAAGGGAGCTTGAGCGACGACTTGAAAAGCTTCAGTGTGAAGATCGAAAGACACAACTTTGGTTTCTGCGCAATCGGTGAACCAGTAAAGAGACCCATCTACAAACGCGGGGTCGGGGCAACCAACAATCCTGTAAGGAGAAGCAGGAGTGACGTACCTCCAAGCGTTGGTACTAAAGTCGAAAACTTCGCACGTAGTAGCGTTTTCAAGGCTTATCTCTGAAGAGTTGTACAGGCAAACGAGTTTGTAAGCGCCCGTGAATCTGTCTTTACCGAATCCAAACTTGATGGGGGAGTGTCCAAGCTCCGAGTAACTCTCTCCTAAGTCGATCGCCAGTTGCTGAACTTTGCAGAGAGGAACAGGCCGAGACCATCTGGTGGTTGGGTTGACCACAAAACCGGCTTCAACTGGATGGTAGAGACAAACGAGACCGTCGCAGCTGTAAGAAACTAGGTATTTTTCTGTCTTCTCCTACTCCTTGTCCGGATCTTGACCGATGTCGACGAACCCAACACGAGTGTTCTTAGACTTTGTATGCCCGTTTCAGCATCTTCTGACACCATGAGAATATTTGTATCATCTCCTGATTGCTGCTGACCATGCTTCAACTGTCTCTCTGGGAAGGATGGTGATTCGATCGTTGTTCTCCATTGTTTCGATACAGCCTTGAACCTCATCAGAGATTTCGCCGGAAGTCTCTCCATGATGACCTCCACCACATCGTGGGGCAGCGATTCCACCCTCGATTCCATTAGAAAGCGACGTCTTTTCCACATCCTTGTCTTGTCTCTCTGTAGCCATTGATGATGAGATACAGAGGCTTATTTATATACAAGTACGACACTAAAATAAAATAGGAAAATTCGTTAAGGATAAGGAAATCTCTACTTTCCTTAAATATAATTACTGAATATAATTTTTTTTAGCAGACCAAGGAAAAGGAAATTCTCTCTCCATACACGACACAGATATTCTCCTAACTAAACTCGAAAACCTCGACACTCATATTCCTGATTGCTTTAGGCTGTATGAAACTAGACAAAACCACGTGCCAACTCTATGCCGTTTCGAACAGGGTTTATCAAGTTTCTGTGTAGGAACTTCAAAAGCCTTTTTCCAAGAATGTTTCAAACGCTTTGACTTTTAAATATTGAAAAGAAAGAGATTTATACACATAAAAACTATTTACTCAAGCCTTTTTTGTGTTGTCTAACATGTAAAGATTAAACTCAAGCAACATGAGAAAAAGATGTAAATGAACATGAAGCCAAACACTAAACTCACCAAACAAAACCAAAACGCATAGACAAAAAAAAACACACACACACACTAAATAGTTAAGTTCGATTATGTAAGATGATAAGAGGTCACTCTCTTTTGCCTGAATCTTCTTCACCGTTTCCACTCGGTCTTTGACTTATCTGTAACAATCAAGAACAAAATGAGTTAAAAAGGTTGATATGAGTAATTAAGAGAACTGTTGTAAATTTGAGTCTTGCTTACCACTTATGTTCTTAGAAGAAGAAAATGATTTGTCGCCGTTGATAGATCCTTTGGCAGAGGCTAGAAGAAGCCTGTGAGCCCCTGGAGACGAAGTAGTAGTAGTAGCAGTACTACTCACCTTACCATTGGCTGGAGAAGGCAGTGAAAGGCGCCGCAATGTCCCATTTTTCTCTTGAGCAAACCTTGGAGAACCTTCTCCTTTCACTCTGGCCTTTGCAGATGCAGTTGGAGCCATGTAGCTGGGAATTTTCCTCCCACTATGTGTAATCCCATCATCTTGATTGTCATTATTTGCGTGCAGTGACACTCGTCTTTCACTTGGCTTTGTGCTATCAGAGCTTACCTTCACATCTGAGCATATGAGGTCTTCAACCTTATCACCGATCTCTGCAGCTATAGGTTCATCTTCCTCCGGTGAATTCTCTTCGTTTTCGACATCAAACTCTTTAGGAACTACATCAGTGGTATCTGTTTCCTTTTCATTACACTCAACAGCGAGTCCTTCTTCAAGAACATCCGAAACCTTCACTTCAGGCTCTAGCTGCACAGAATCTGCAGTGTTTTTCTCCTCTACGCCTGACTCAACAGCATTTCCTCCTTCAAGAACATCTGAAAGGTTCACTTCAGGCTCCACTTCAGGCGCTATCTCCACAGAATCTGCAGTATTTTTCTCCATTTCAGCTGACTCAACAGCATCTCCTCCTTCAAGAACATCTGAAACCTTCGCTTCAGGATCTATCTGCACAGAGTCTGTAGTGTTTTTCACCTTTTCAGCTGACTCAACAGCGTCTCCTCCTTGAAGAACATCTGAAACCTTCACTTCAGGCTCTATCTTCACAGAATCCACATGATCTCTCTTCTTCTCAGCAGATTTACGGGTGGCTTTCTCTGACCCGTTTGAAAGAGAAGACCTTTTGAGACTAAGCCTAGGCTTCTCATCTTTAACCTGAGAAGGAGATCCCTCCTTCGAAGCGCTTCTACTTTTTCTCGCATTTAGCTTAGCCTTGTCACTCGCAGTTCTCAGGGGATCTTTACTAGCCTTGTCACTCTCGGTTCTTAGGGGATCTTTACTAAGCGTGGAGGCCTTCCTCACATTTCGCTTAGGTTTCTCAATCTCAGCTGTAGAACGCTTAGAACCATTTCCACGAGTTGGTCCGGATTGTTTCTTGACACCTCGCTTTGGCCTTGCCTTTTCTGCTTCAACCACAGCTTCATAATTCCGCTTCTTTGTCTTAGGTTTTGGAACAGGAATCTTAGCAGCTCCTGAACCAGGAGACCAAACTTGCAACTGTGTCCAGCGTTCAAGCCAAACCTTGGCTGAGTTAGGATCATTAGGACCATACTGGATCTTCAGAGGCAATGCAGTTGGTGATGAAGCCAGAAGCTGAAACAAAACAACGTTGTGTTGCAGGATTTGTAATAAACAAAGTCTTGAGTTTATGGATCAGAAGTTAAAGATTACCTTATCAACAAAGAAGAGTTTTGAGGGATTATCCATCCATTTACAGGTGCTCACTTGCAAAGCTTCTGAATCACCTGCTCTCAGCTGAACCCCATTATCTGAAGATCTAGCTTTCCGGCCACGGACAAGCGCCTGAAACTTGACGATTCCCCATATACATGAATACGTAGCAACGGCTTGTCTTCTCACCAGATGACCACGGATCACTGCCTGTAGCCTGATGATACCTTTAAGTGTTCGAAATGCTCTACGTGCCTTTCAGTAGAATAACCAAAAACATCATCATCACCATTACAAGAATCTTATCAAGTAGATTTCTCTTTATTATAGCAAAGAATAAGTACCTGATGAGCTCTGAAAGCAGCCTGAACCTTTATTACAGCGTGTTCAAGCTCGACTTCTTCCATGTCATTTCTTGATTCAAGATTAGCCTTTGACTCATCACCATTGCTTGGAGAAACCACATTTTGAGCAGTAGTAGTAGCTGAGTCTGGCTGTGCTGAAACCACTGGAGGATCAAGCGATAAGTTTGAAAGACCATCCCTCACCGATACCACCACCTCTTCTTTCTTAGCAGAGCTCTTTGTGTACACATGAACAACAACATTACAGTTATAACTATCCACATTTTATTCAAAGGAAGAGAACTAGAAATCACATATGCTTACCAGCTTCTCGCTTCCGTTTGCCGACTTCGGAGACTTCTTTCCGAGAAGCAAAGTCTTGATCCATTTACCAGGAGTCTTTCCCATTCTTAAGAGAGCAAGATCCCGTTTCAATTGAGAGAGTTGCTAAATATAGAAACCTGCAGAAGAACAAGCAAAAAAGGCCCTGAATTTCACAAGCAAAAGATATAAGCTAATTCTGTGGATTATACTTCTAACACACAAAAATTTACAGAATTGAAGCTGAAACCTATCTAACAAAGATCATCTATAAAACTTTAGAACACAGTAGCATAATTCATCATTAAAACAGGCATCTATTTCAGTGAAAAACAAGAAAGTTGCATGAAATCAAAGAATATTAATTTAAAAAACAAAGTAACGGAAGCTAGAAAAAAACATGGGCTTTAAATAAAGTGAACAAAAGCAGAGATCTTGAAGACAGCACACCAAAAATCAAGAAGATCCAGAAAAACTAAACCTGGTAGATTTTCAATTAAGCAAATGACAAAAATAAATTGCAACAAACCAGAGCTAAAAGAGAGAAAAAACCATCAGAAATTTTAAAATGATGAGCAAGAGTGAATAGACAGATCTGAGTACAAATCTAAAGAGCACAAGAATTATCTAAGTGTTGTAAAAGAAATTGAAACGTCAACCTCAAAGAATTGAATGTAGCTTAAACCATAGAAAGATCAGTACCTAACCTGCTCGGCTTCTTCTTTTCTTCGAATGTTGTACTTTAAATCCCCTGACAAGATCAATGACCTAAGAGACTAAAAGCATAGTAGGTCACTGCGAAAATTAGACTCCCCAACGGTTCCACTGATAGTGATAGCCAAAGCAGAAGAAGAAAGAGAGAGATGTTGAATTTAACTTAATTAAGAAATGTAAGGAATGGACAAGAAAATTTCGGTTTCAAAACGACGTCGTTGGAATGATGTGCTGTCAAAGATTTTTAAAGCAGGCCGTTATGGGCCCAATTAAAGGAGTCAATGGAGTTGGATTTACACAAACACCCTCTCCTTTTCTTGGATCATTCATGATATTGATCACACCCTCTGTTTTAATTCGACAATTAATTAAGGGTGTCATTATCCAATTGGTTAGTTCGCTAAATCCAAACGTCGTCTATTAGGAGTATTTGAAATTTTGAATCGTAAGATAATGATGTAGTGACTAGATAGGTTTTGTAGTCTATCCTAACTAGATATTTTGCCCGTTCTATCAACTAATAAAGTATTCCATTAGTTAAGTGTATTCCATTTTTCCATAAATTAAGCACATGAACCTTGACGATGGATATCTTTGGGCCTAAAATGAGTTGGATAGCTATAAGGTTTAATAGAACCCTTAAGAATTCTATAAGCCCAATATATATATATATATGTATTTTTGTTACTAGGTTGTTATAAAAAGTGGAACAGAATATAGATAGATAAAAATGCATATGGTCTATAATATTAATTGATACTTTTGGCAGTGTCGCAAATTACAAGGCAATTGCATGTGATGTGCTTACTCGCATTGTATTTTCCTTTCAATTTTGACAGAAAACAAAATAAAAAATTCAGTCATGATTACTTATCAAGTAAGTTCTCAAGAAAAATTGGATAGTGTGACAAAAAAAGTTGGCTTTGAGTTTCACCACCAGCTTGTTACTGTTTTGAGTGCTTTTGACAAATCTTGGACTTTGCACTTGAAAAATAAAAACGATTTTGAACGAGCTTTTATTACACCACGATTTTGAACTTATTTATTGGTGTTTGTTTCATGCTGCTACATGAATTGGTTTCCTTTTGTATAATCAAACTTATTTTATTTTGCAAGTCAAGCCACTTTAAAAACAACACAAAAATAATTATGTAAAAAGAATAAAAGACAAAAGAGAAAGTAGTGGACGGTTCGTCGCGCCAAAAGAAAACAGCGGATGATTTGTTAGAATCTCAATGCTTTTAAAACACACCGAAACAAAGCGACACACACATTTCTTAATCTCACCGACTAATAACTAAAATGCTAGCTATAATCGATAAGGAGATGATAACAACATGTTTTGGCCAACATAATTGGTAGTATTATTACTTTGACACTGATTGATGAGACAAAAAAAAATCGATAT